TGTCCTGTTAACTTTCCTGTGGACTGAGACCTTAAAAAAAAAAAAGGAAAGGAGGAAAAGTAGAGAAACTAACTTGAGAGAAACTATGAATTTTTAATTTCTGTGAACAACATAATTTGCATGGATTCTATATTTTTAAAATTTCTTAGCACTCCATGAAAAATATGGAATGTCTCTGAAATTCTTTCTTCGCATATATGGCTTAGAAATATGGAAATGAGTGATTCATTCTTGTTCTAGAATTTGAATGGGATGAAGCATTTCATCTCTTTTATGTGTCAAAGTAATAAACTTTTGTCAGAAAAAAAAAAGAAAGTAAAAGTAAGTCCAACAGCAAATATCAGAATAAAGTTTTATTTCTAATGTAAATGGTATCTTTTGTTACATAAAAAATTTAATTGGTTAAAAAAAAGAAAAATAATTTTGTTTGGTTTCTTAGCATGCTAAGGCTAAGCCTCAATAAAAATAATCTATATTCTTTGATAAAACTGCTCATTCATTTTCTTCTGATTTAACTCCACCTCTATACAACTCTGTTCAAATTAACAGTCAAAAAATGGCCAAACTATGATGGAAGTGTCAGAAGTCCTAAACAAGTTATTCCAAAGTGACTAATGTCATTCAAGTAGTAAACAAAAAGGCATCAAAAATCCAAAAACTTGCTACATGTTAATTTTAACTCCAACCTAAATCCAGGTAAACTTTAACCTGTTAAATGTCTGTACGTGTTATAGACATATGACTGATGTTATGAGGCCCAATGTGAAATTGGATTAAAACAACTATGTCACTGATATAACTAGAAAATAACAATATGGAGAAAGTAATATTACTTTTTACACACATATATTTTCACACATACATATACATGTATATGTACACCCATCTTATATACACATGTATACACATATACACATACATGTATGGGCACTATGTGTGCACACATGTGCACCAGGAAGTAGGTAGTCCATTTCCTCAGTTATTTTAAAGATATGAAAATGACCAGCAATATATCTGACTGGTAGAAAAACATGATGTCAATTATCAGGGGGTGACAGTGAACCTTTGTTTCATAGTCCTGCCTCAAGTCAAGCTGCTGGGATGCAGAGATATATTTGGCTTCCAGAATATTACCATTTCTTGAACACTCTTTTCTTACTTTGTTAAGATGAATCTGTATTTAATCATGTTGCTGAAATCAGGCAGGTTTCAAAGGTTCTAACTTTTCAGCATAAAAGAAAATGTAAATATTTTCAAAAGCTGATCTTTTCTGCCTCATGTTATGGCTAAGTATCTTCCTCCATGGTGCTCTGACTACAAGTTTAATATAATCAAGAATTAACCAAGTCTTCCTCTCTTTCCTAATTTTCTTAAACAAGTATTCCTTTTATTTTTCTACCTCTTATTTTTAAAACAGTACTCAGGGCTGTGTTTTTTCTTTCTCTTTCTTTCTCATATATTTATATATAAATTAGATTTATTAAACTTTTTCAGACATGCATTAAAATATTACAAGTTATAACTGGTTATTCCTCAAAATTTCTAAAATAATTTTCCCCTTATTTACCAGTAACAAATTCCTTCTAGATTGGATTATTACCTGAATTTTCTGAATTGCAGACTTAACTCAGTATCCTGTAATTGCTTATTCAATGGCCTTTATCCTCCTTTATGC